ATCTAGATAATAGATATTATTTTGCTGAAATGATGTAAGCTGAAACATAATGCCTTATTGTGGATTCTTGTAAATGTGCCTCTTCGGCTTCATTACCATTATTTATCTTATCGGTGTTCCTCACCCTGCTCCTGTCTCACACCCTCACCATAGGACTTGGCAAGCACTTTAACATGCTAACACAGAAACACATAAACAGGAACAGAGGCTCACACACAACCACTAATCACATTAAGCTAATCCACTCAGATACAAATATATAGACATACACAAAGAGTAGTCTATTTATGTAGGTAAAAGGTGGAGATACTCAGACACACATTTATAGAAATAGGCACACATCCTGATACATGTGCCCAAAAATACCAAACATAAAAATATACAAACACACAAATAATTTATCTATCTACATCAGCATTATATATATATATATATATATATATATATATATATATATATATATATATATATATAAATATTTAAAAATATGGATCATTGTCTTAGAAAAACATGACATATAGAAGCTTGCTTTTTCATACCGTTTTACATGGATACAATTTGGCACAGAAAATAAATGCCAATTTGTTAAAAACCAATGTAAGATTTTAAATAAACAGGCCAGCCATTTCTTAGACTGAGATGTCCGAAAGAAATGGATTTTGCACAGCAGTGCAAAAGCAAGAAGAGTTATTTCACACTGTCTTATTTCTTTTGATTACATCATTTGTTTAATCTTTTCTATGCTTAACTGAGAAGGCAAGAAATAACATCCAAAAAACTTAAGATGACATGGATGTCAAATAGAATATACATATACATATATATATATATATATATATAGGTCTAAGTGTTATTTTTAGTGGATACTCATATTTGCAGAGATGCTCAGTTTATTTTTTAAACACTATTTTGTCTACTGGTCTGAAATACTGTTTAAAAAATAAACAACATTTTCAAGTAATAAAAATATGCTTGTTTAATAAATAAAAATTCATCATATATATCTTTATTATTCAGAAAATGCTAACTGAAGGATCTTTTTTTTCTTTTTACATTGTATATTATATATACCCCATGAATCATTAGCATTGTAAAATAAAAGAACTCAATGTAAAACAAAATACAGAGGCTAAAATATAAACATTTTAGGCATGGACCAACCCCAGTTTGTGTAGGTGCCCACACTCACTGTATATATATATATATATATATATATATATATATATATATAAAAAGATACATTTTTCCAAGGTATTATAATATATCATCAGTGCTGATTTAGAAGAGAGACCATAATAAAGTCTCCTGGCTAAGTCATCACTGAAAGCCTTATAAAAGAAAATGCACTTCCCAATATGAATCTGATATGTATTCCATTTTTAATTTTCTTTAATAAAACTTCCCAATATTTAAATAGGAGACATTAATGATATAAATGGTCATTTTAACTCTAACATATGTACATACTAAATATAATGATGGATTCAAAAATTCCATTTATTGCTCATATATGTGTGTGCCTCTTACCCAACATCTTTACTACTTTATGTATGTACAATTCTAGAGATGATACATCTTCTGCCAGTGAATCGATTCGGAATAAAAAGCTGTTTCTGAGAAACCTATAAGTAAAATTGTTTACACCTAAATGGGTTTGAAGATATACATTTGACATTGTACTACCCATTCCTCCTCGATCGACTAGTGGTCCATCAGGTGACTGGTTCTGTGACTAAGTCAGCTGAGAGCTCCAAAATTTCAAAAGTCAATAAAATATCCATTGCAAGTAGGTCATTGGTATAAGCATTTTAGAAATTAGACTCTGTACTTAAGACACGATCGCAAGACAGAAAATATCACCCTTGGCAGAAAACTTGTTAAGCAACAGAAAACAATTATTATTGCTAAATCATTCAAATCCACTTCTTTATTGATCTCAACTGATCAAGAACACCACAAATACAAGGTGTTTCCTGGGACACAGACATTTGAAGGGATCATACAAACACACACACACATCAAGACTTTTTTTCATCAGCAATAAAACTAATATCAGAATGATTTGACTGAACCAGATTGTCATTTTCTCACCTTATAGACGAGAATTGCTTTCTCATATTGTTTCAACTGATTGAGCAAAAAATATCAATTTTATTGTAGCATAAGTGAACAAGACGATCTTTTAGTTAGATTTCAGAAACCTCATCAGGGGTCTAAATTTGCAAATAACTGATTTAATAGCTGACAAGATTGTTCTTTTGTTTCTTTAAATAAAATATTGATGAAACAGATGGAGCATAGGGGACTAGAATTAAAAATCGAACTTAGAGGGAAAGTGACGATGTGAATCAGAAATAATTGAAGGATAAAGTGTTTGTGGAGAGATGAGAGGAGATGGCAAATACTGACACATGACATAAAAGGTCAGGCCAGCAAAACACTTTTACTTAACACAAAAGATGTTACTGTTGGTTTGGGATGTGAAGTCGGCGGTGGGGGTTAGATAGTGTGTGTGTGTATGCACTGCCTTCATTTTACCCATATTAATTGCAATTTACAAGCCTCACTTAATATGAACTACAAATTGAATAAGAGATTTTACAGTCTCAAATCCACAGTTCTAACCACCGAAGCATGCACTTGACAATTTTGTTTGAGAAGGGTGCATAAAAAAATCTTTACACACACACACACACATATATATAAATAAATTGTTGAGATATATATATATGTATATGTATGTATGTATGTGTGTGTGTGTGTGTGTTGTAATTTCTTTTGGGTCAATAAAACAAGCAAATATAACAGGATTAATTTGGTAGAAGAAATTGAGACAAATGACAAAAAGTCTGAAATAATTTCATTCAGATGGTAGAAGAGAGGACTGAGGTCCCCAAAGTGTAAGGTCTGTGGTCACTGGATTCAGATAATTAGTACAAACTTAACCAAATCAGGAAAAAAATTTGAACTTAAGTAACAATCCTCTATCTTAAAAAAATCTGAAGACTAGTAATTGATAAAACTTGTTGTGGAGAATTGAATTGTAAAAAGGCACATTTAATATCAGTTTTTAAAAAGACCAGATTGAGTGGCATATTAATGAGAGAAAAAGAGAGGAAAAAGACCAGAATTCAGAACGGCTCAATTGTTAGAATCAATAATATAAAGCAGTTGTGATTTTATAAGTGGAGTTATATTTGTAGCTGATGTATTGCTGCAAAAGACAATTCAGTATGACAATTTTTTTGTTTCATTATTTTTCCCCTGCTTGCTTCACAAGCTGAAATGACACAGCAGGAGTAAAAAGGTTTTGCTAAGTTATTCACACAAAATCTAGTATTGTTGATAAGAAAAAACTAACAGTTTACCAAACATCTCTGTGACAAGTTCCCTCCTGTACTACCAAGCCAGTCAATTGGGCTGGTGAAGAGCGAGGGTCACAAGTGGGGGAGAGGGGGGGGGGAGAGAAAAATCAATAAGCTAAGCTGATCGATATAACATTATGTATATATGTAGATTGGTAAGTAAGCATAGAGCTGTATTTAAATTAATAACGCACTGTTACTAGCAATGTGGCCTTTCTGTACTTAATAGATATCCTGTAGAAAAATAAATGCAGGTTTCTTGTTGCTAGAGCATCCAGGAGGTTGGCTTAGCAGTTCAACATGGCTGACACCATATGACAGTTACCCAGGACAGACATTTTGCTAGGGTTACTTATAAAATGAAACAAATTAAATGAATAGTCAAGAATGTTTTTCTCTTTTTATTTGAGTGAAAAGAAAAGAAAAAAAACAAAGATTTAAACTTCTGCAACAACATTTTTTCACAGATTGCAATTGAATGCTACAAACATTGGGAATAACTTGCTTGTAGAATGATAACAGATTTATATTTGAAAAGCTGTAAGGAAAAGCAGGCCACATGCTGAACCCCCGTTTAAAAACCCTGATGAAGAGAAAGTGGGTCTTTGTGAAGATTTTAAAGACATGGAAACACAGGAGAATGGTGATTGTGGGCTATTTAACAAAGGTGCAAGTTCACTTATGCAAATACTTGGAGCTGAATGCTTTATATTCTATAATGGGGTGCTAGAAATGTTTTAAACTGACACATTTCCCAAATCAGTATTTCAATGAATATACTGATTTGAGGAAAATGAGTCAGTCTGAAAAAAATGTCCCTCCCTCCCTTGTAAGTAATGTCAGATTAGTTCAATTTGTGATAATCAAGTATCAATATGTTGATGGTTTGCAAATTTACAAATACCATTTTTAGGTATTTGCTTTTAAAAGAGTTTATCATATTTTTTTCAGACTAGCTTTTTTCCATTGAGAAAAACAGATGACAAGTGACTTTTTTGGGAAGTGGGGAGGTCAAATGCTTCATAAATGGAATTTAATATGTCCAGATAATGATTTAAAATAAAATAAAAACACTACTTTAACTTTAAAAGCATTTGTACCTTTATAAATGATAAACGTTTTTATCCTTTTATCAATGAAATCTCAAAGTCACAAAACATCTCTACTAAGTTGTATATAAACAGATGGCGTTTAAACTGAACTCCTGGAGATTGACACCCTTTAGAGAAAATGTAAACCTCAGTTGAGCAAGCTATGGTGTTTGGTAAAAACAAGGGTGGATGGTGAAGAAGGTCTCAATAAAAAAAATAAATAAATAAAATAAAAAATAAAAGTAAGAATCTAAGGATTTTTTGGATTAAGAAACTTAAAAGGCTGAAAAGAAATTTGACATTTTTTAGTGGTAAACAGATCAACCCATTGTACCCAGTACTTCAAAGCACAAATTATATTTAATAATTTACATAATAGAAATTAAAACCTGAAGAATTTCTTTTTTCAAGACCTCATAAAAAAATTACTCCAGAGTGAGTCAAAGGTAAAAAAGAGAAAAAAAAAAAACTATTTAGTATTTTGTTCTGTTAGGTACAATGAATCAATGTGCACCAAAATAATTAAAAGTGAAAGTGAAAGTACTTACTCAGTTTCATCATTATCGAAGACAACCTCCTTATCCAAAAGTTCATAATCTTTGCCGTAAGTTGCTGTGCCATCCACAGAGTGGAAAGGAACCTTGACACAGCCACGAGCTCCAGATGTTCTGATTATACGCACTTCCACTTCACCACTGGATTCAGTAACACTCATTTCCTTCTCGTCAATTTGGAAAATACCAGGATGGTCATCATCAAGAATCATAACGGTGGCCAGGAATGGGTTGGCCAACTGCGCCTTGGCTTCAGCCTGGCCACTTTCAAACAGACCCTGGGAATCGCCAACTCGTAAATTGCTTAGACGAATATAAAAGTGTTCATCTTCCTCAAAAATGTCGTCGTCAATGATAGAGATAGGGAATTGTTTGTGGGTTTCCATAGGATAGAACACCAGGGTACCCTCAGCATAGACATAATCAGAACCGGCATTGGCGGTACCATCTTCAGTTTTGTAGTCAACATAAAGGGTCTTTGTTAAGTCACCACCTTCTCTGGTCACAGTACCATAAAAAGTGCCAACATTTTCCATGACTGTATAATGTCCAGGGTCGAAGTAAACCTTGGTGGTCTCATCTTCAGGTTTTTGGTCAGTTGTAGAGCCCTGAGGGACCCCACCTTGAGCTTTTGCTTTTTTGATAATGTTACCACTGCCAGTTAGTTTCCTAGTGGCCTGGATTCGGTAAAACGCCCTACTTTTGGGGCCACGGTTGACCGCTTCAGCTTCGGCCATGTCTTCAAGTGTCTTCATGTCCAAAGTTGGGTTCTTTTTCCTCATTTCACGGAGAATTTCAATGTATTCTTTACGATGCTCTTCAAACTCACGGACTTCAATATCATCCCCCAGTTCTTTGAGGGCGCCATCCTCACCAACATGATTGGCCTTGCCTTCACCAGCTTCGGCATCTTGACCCTCACTCTGGACAATGACACCTTTTTGTTTGCTGGCACGGTACTTTTTGGACAGGTATTTATTTATTAGTTTTCGGTCAGCGATGTAAGCAGTGACTACAGTGGCTGGAAAAAACATAAAAGTGAGAACTGCTTCCCAGACCTCGACCACACCGTAAGAGGCCACAGCGAGTATAAAATAAAGCCAGAGGTAGGCAAACACACTCCATGTAGCTGTGATAAAGAACACTCCAAGATGTTTGATGGTGCGGACTTCACCATTGGGGATCACAAACACGCAAAGAGCTGTAATGATGAACAGGTTGAAAGCAGCGCTGCCTACAATGGTACTGGGACCCAAATCTCCAGCTTCGAATTTTTGGCCCACCACTTCAATAACAGAGAGCAGGATCTCAGGAGCTGAAGATCCAAGGGCCATAAGGGTCAAGTTCGACACAGTTTCGTTCCAAATCCTAACGTTTACTATTGTGGTAGTGCCGTCGGGTTTTTTAACGACTACGTCCTTTTCTTTGGACGTGATTACCTCGATAGCTGCCATGAATCGATCTGCAATGATGGAAACTCCTACGAAGAGGTAAAACATGAGGACAAAATAGACTGTCGCCCTGGCTAACTTGTCACCAACACTGAGGTTACCAACAGGCTCCCAGCGGGGAATAATAAGGCCATCACCACAAACTTCAGATTCTTGTGAGCAAGTATCATTTCCATCATCCGAGGCCATAGTGAAATCGAACAATAAGCCCAACAAAAAGAGGGGAACACCCCAACCTATAGGAATTTTAAACGGGTTCATTTTGAGACGAACACTTTAATTTAGGGGACAAGAAGAAATAAATAAAATGAAAAAAATGTATTAAATGTTGTTAAAGTCCACAAATAACAGATTTTCAGAATTTTTTCCCCGTTTTTTTTTCTTCAAACAGGAAGATAAATTCAGAAAAACAAGATAAAAAAATTTAACAAACCTTTTTTTTTTTTAAAGCCGGTAAAAACTTTTTTTTCTTGTTTTTAAATAAATCCTCGGTAATTAATTATTGATTTGTAGCCGATTTTCATATTTATGTGAATTTCTTTTTAAAGATACGCGTGTAAACAAAAATAAGAGAAAAAAAAACGTTGAAGTTTTTTTCTTTCTTAAACACAAAACAAAAAAAAAAAATCAGCAAGTTTTTTTTTTTTTTTTTAAAAACAAAAAAAAAACAAACTTTTTCTTAACTACGAAAACCTGGAAGTATTTCTTTCCAAAGGATTTCTTCCTTCTTGGTTGTCTAAAACACTTTTCTTCTTTAAATTATCAGGATATTTTTTTATCCCCTTTTATTTCTCTTTTTTGTTAATGAAAGTCCAAGTTTTGTTAGAAGAAAAGAAATGAATGTCGGATCTTCTTCGCGTCTCCTTCAAAAATACAAATTATTTTTCATTCGTAATTTTTTTTTTAATTTAAGATTTGTTTTCGTTCTCTTTTCTTGTAAAATCCAAAACGAAAACAGTCGATTTTTTTGTTTCGTGTCAGTCAAAACTTTTCCTTTTGTTATGTTTTGGTTTTCCTTCTTTTTGGTTTGTAAAATTGTGGAAAAAAGAAATCCTATTTTCTTCCAAGATGGAAAATGTCGCGCCGTTGGATAAAGGAGAAAAAAGTAGCCGAATGTTGTCTTTTAAGTTGAAAACAGCAATTATACATCCTTATTATATCGTCCATAAATTCCTGAAAAATAAAGAAAAAAAAAAAAGAAAAGAAAAAGAAATTCCTTTGAATATTTTTGTTTTTTTTTGTTTCGGTTGTTAATTGAATTAAATGTCGCTTTTTTTTTCTATGACTCCTGTCCAAGTAATGAAGATAATTTCAACAACAAAAAGGTGTAAATTTCCTCCAGAAAGACGAGATTTCAACAAGATATATATTTTTTAAATCTTCAGGTAATAAATGAAGCCAGCTGAAGTATTTCAATTTTTAAGCCTTTGAATGAAAATGAAGATTTCGAAGTCGGGGAAAAAGTACTTCTATCTTTCTTTTCTTTCAAAAGTATTTGTTGTGTTGTAGTAGTTGTCAATTTTCAAATATTAAAAAAAAAACAAAAAAACTAGAGGAATTTGAGAGTTATTATTTTTTCTTTCTTCCAAAAGGTGTGAATATTCAGCAGTAAAGAAGAAAGAGTAGGGAAAAAACCCTAAAAGAATAAATGCTAATAATTAGAAAAGAAGACGGATAAAGAGTAAGACAAACCCCTTTTTGTAAAAGTGTCTTGTCTGTTAAAGAATAATGGTACCGCAAGTGCCAAAATCAACCTGCAGTCGAATAATTAGTTGTTGCTTGTTGTACTGGCTTGTACCTACTAAAGAAATAGGTAGCTAGGTAAGTAAAACAATTCTAAGTTGGTTATTATTACTGTGGCTTTTTTTTTGGTTTTCTATTAATGTACCTACATATTAATTAATATATATAGATAGATAGTTCCCCACTGTTTAAGTTGGTTTAAACAACTGCTAGATAGACAATTTACAAGACAACCTACTACAACACAACTAAAGAAGAGAGTGACTATTTTCTCCCCTGTTGCTGTTGTAGAATGATTTTTTTATCTTTTTTTTATGTATACATATGATATATATCTATTTTAGAAGGCAACAGAGAAAGAAGAAGAAGAAGAGGTAAAAGAAATTAAGGTGCTCTGAGCATAAAAATGACGATGAAGAGAGAGACACGCACAGATGGTGACATTTGATACGTTCCTCTTCATCTTCTTTCTTTTATCCAAAGAAATACACTTAAGGGAGGGTATGACTGAGCAAAAACAAAGCAAACCCTCTTTTCTCAATACAGTAATGAAAGTGAATAGTCATGTCTCTGCTTCTGGACCGGCATTTCCCCCCTTTTCTCTCTCTTCACTCTCTATATATTTGTATTCATTTCTTCTTTACCACAAAAAGCTTCCTTTCCACTGTCTATCTATCGACATCTCTAAGCAACCCTCTCTCTCGCTCAATCTTTGTTTATCGATACTCCCCCACTCAGTTTAAACTTTGACTCTATCCATCTCTCTTCTCGCTTTTCACTTTAATCTCCCCCTCAACTACTACTACTACTAGTAGTAGTAGTAACGAGTATCTATGTCGGAATATATTTTGATGGAAAAATCTGTTTAAATAAAAATAAATTAAATATATGTAATTCAGAATGTATTTTTTTTGTAAAAGTAAAAAAACTCTTTCAGTCTTTTAATCACTTTGTTCCAATATGTATTATTATTTTTTTTATGTATGCCTCAATCGATTTCTTTTAAATTATCAAAAAAAACTGTTTTTTACACTGAATGTATTCCTATTGTTTAAAGTACAAATAAAATAAAACAAATATACATATTATTATTATTAATATTATTATTATTATTTAGTGTATCTGTAAATAATATACACACGTGTTGAATTTTTTATTCTATAAATTGATGACACAAGTTAATGTGTAAATTATGTATAAAATAAAAATGACAGCAATCATATTTTTAATTAAGATAATTATTACCCTCCTTACATAATAAATACACTGTTAACAGTTAAATACACACGTTGGAATTCAATGGACTTTTTTTAACGTACGGTATCATTAACATGCAAAAAATAAAGTATATGAATGAAAAGAAAATTGAAAATGAAATTAAAAACTGACCTTTAGTTCTGGAGTCTCCTGTTTTCTTAATTTATGAAAAATATAATACACACATACGTCGTAGAGATGAGAAAACTGTATTTAGAAACGAGTGTCTATATGCCTCTCTTACTAAATAACATAAAATCTATCTACCTCCCTTGGTTCGATTCGACCCTCTTTATCTCATAATTTCAATCACTATCTCTCTATCCAGCCTGGAAAAGCTGGTTAGCATCCTTTTCCCTCTCTAACTAGTGTACCAACTCCCTGTTAGTAAATTACTACTACTGCTAAAGCTAAACACTTAGTAGTAGTAATAAAAATAAGGATAATAGTCGTAATAATATTACTTTCCTTATTACTATGATTAGTAGTAGTAGTATTTTTACCTGTAATATCTACGATTATTTCATTACTCTGTCTTTATTCCACACATCTCTCTCTCTACAGACGACTCCTTTATTTCATAACACCTATTTCCCAAAATATCTAATACATAACAGTTAACACACACACAATATATATATATATATATATATATATACATACATACATACATACACACACACATATATGTATATATATATGTAATTATAATAAACGATCCGCCTGCTCTTCTCTAATTTTTCCTTACTTTTTACTTGCCTCCTCCTCCTCTCTTTCTCCCTCGTTATTTTAATGCACGCAACAGGGAGGGGAGTAGTGGTAGTAGTAATAGTGGTAGTGGTAGTACTAACAAAATCGCGTTGCGGGTCTGGCTCAGCGGCGGTGTCGCGCGCTGGAGGCGGAAAAGTCAAAGGTTCCATCGCAAGTGCTGGTTTGGTGAAGCCGCTGTCTTTCTTCAAGTGAACAGAAAACTCTCTTTTTCTAATCCTGATCTTCAAAGGGGTTTAGCATTTTCCCCCCAATCTGAGGATACCCACGCACTCAGCACTTTAGGAACTTTTCAGTGGAGGTTTTTATAATTACAATCGATTTTCAAGTGAGTGGTAAGTTTTTTTTTAGAGCAGTTAAAATAAAATTTATTGAAAGAAAAAAAAAAGAAAAGAAATGAATAAAATGAAATGAACAAAGAAAAAAAAAACAGACTCGATTCTTTTACTGTCTTTTTTTAACCGAATATTTTCATAAGACTAAAAAAAAAAAGAAGACATTTAAAAATCTAGCAGACGAATTTTTTCCGAGCTTACAATTGATAAATTAATTTTATTATTAAAATGTGTAGCTTAATTAACCGATTTGCTTTATGTATAAACGAAGAAATTAATTAAATAATTTAAGAAAGAAAGAAAATAAAGTGAAATCAAATACGAACAGTACTCTAAAATAAGGAGATTTGTCCAGTGTCTGATTTATTGTAAGTCGTACTGGAGACAATCACGGAAAATTCATTTTAAAGTCGTTATTATTCTCAGATTCTGTAGTGTATAGTATTTCTCATTCAAATTTATTTCTAAGTAATTTCATGAATGTTTTTAAAACGAATTTTACTGAATATTTATTTTTCAAATGAAAACAAAGCAAGCGAAATTGGTATATTTTTTAATTTTTATTATTTTCAATACAAAATAAATACATTCAAATTGATTACGTTTAAAATTTAATCAATTTGAATTTATTTATAAAAAATCAAACTTTAAATTCTATGTCATTATGTAAGTAAGAATTCAATAAATCACAATACTGTGTTTTTAGTGTTTATTGTATAATCATCATCATCGTCATCATCATCGTCATCGTAGTAGTAATTAAGATGATAATGATTGCCATTAGGGTTGAATTTCTTTCTCTCTCTCTCTCTCTCTCTACCTTTCTATCTCTCTCCCTTTCTCTCTCTCAACGTGTGTATGATGCAACAACATTCAACAATAATAACCAACCTCTCTTTCTTCCTGTCTCTATCTCTGTCTAGCTTTTTTCTAACTCGCGCCCTCTCTCGTTCTTTCTCTTCCTAAAGTACTCGCCGAAAGAAAGAAATAAAGAAAGAAAGTTAACAATGCATGTTTATCTCGCAAGCCATTTATTTGCTAGTACTATGAGTTCAGTTCAAATCTCCCGGAGCGTCTGCCTTATGG